CATGTTGGCCATACTGGTCTTGAACTCCTGACCTCAGTTGATCCACCTACCTCTGCCTCTTAAAGTGCTGAGATTACAGACTTGAGCCACCATGCTTGGCAATTACTCATTTTTTACACTGTGAACAGAGTAGAACTTCTTTTCACTGATAACAAATTACTTTTCTTCATTGCAGCCAAATTTTATTGGCTTTGGTCCCTGCTGTTAGTATTCGTAATGTCATAACATTAGCAAGCATACAGTCGTATGCATATCATTATTTTAAAGGGCATATGAAAATTAATCATCATCGCACTCAAATTAATGTCATAAAATAATGTTATGACTAATATTTTGACTTTGCATGGACCAGTCAGCTGGAAGGGATAGGGCACACCTTTGTGAGCCTTAGGCACCCCCTTTAGGAGAAAGCACCCTTTGTGGATGAGGCCAGGACAAGCCAGGGGTGCATCAGCTGGTCCCTCACTCCTCATGCTTGCACCTCCCTTGGACAGGATGCTATCTGCACACCCACTTGGAGAAACCCTGAGAAGGAGCCTCAAGAGTAATTCAAGGCAATAATCTTGATGTAGTGGAAAAGTGGTGGCCTCGACATCATATAAATCAGGGTCGAAGTCTTTCTCCATTACTTATTAGCAATGCGGCTGAGCAAGTTCCTTAAATTCTACAAACCTGCTAAAAAAAGATAATAATGTTTATCTTGAATAATTGTCAGAATTAAGGAGAAAGTGTACAGTGCCTAGTCCACACAAGGTGGTGACCTCTGAGAAGAAAGAACTCAAACTGTTTTTCTCAGCTCTCAAATTACTCTCAACAACAATTAATACAGAAGACTTCTGTGACGAAATGTGCAGAATTTTCCTCCATCAGCAAATAAGCAGTCAGTTCTGCAGCAGACACCAGCTCGGTGTGCTCGAATTCAGTTCTGACACTATCCACCTGGAGACAGCATCAGGTCCCACAGGTTGAGGGCTCAGTCTCCAAAGCTGTCCCTCCTCCTTCAGACACTAGTTGAAAGTCTGGGCTTCTGGAACTTCTGACTGATTGGCTTCAAATGAGCCAAACCCACAATTCCATCTTTGGGTTTGGCTAATTTGCTGGGGCAGCTCACAGAACTCAGGGAAACACTTCTATTTACTGGTTTATTACAAAGAATATCACAAAGGATAAAGATTAGAGATGCATGGAGCAATGTATGGGAGAAGGAGCGAGGAGCTTGCATGCTCTCCCTGGGTGCACCACCCTCCAGGAACCTCCCCACATTCAGCCATCTGGAAGCTCTCCAAAGCCAGTTCTTTTGGGTTTCTGCCGAGGTTTCATAATGTAGGCATGATTGATTAAACCATTGGCCATTGGTGATCAACTTAACCTTCAGCGCCTCTTTCCTCCCAGAAGTCATGGGTGTGGGTGGGGCTGGAAGTCCCAACCCTCTAATCCTGCCTTGGTCTTTTCCCATCACCAGCCTCCTTCCTGAAGCTAGTATATATTTACTCATAAAATAACCAAATTAATTATAGTCAAGATAAAGGAGCTAGACTTGAAAAATAATGCAAGTGAATTTTGTGACCCAGATATTGAATCTCCCTTCTTTCCATCCCTACTCTCACCTTGCTAAATTCCATATAGGAATTGCATTTACAGTATTCTTGAGAGATGGTCTTTCAGACTATTCAGATTATTTCCAGTAACATTATGGTTGCCACCTGATGGATCATGATTTAAAGACATTGTAGACGCTTCCGAAATTCTTGAAAAGCTATGGACTCTGTCACAGAAAAACTGCACATGTGTACAAAAGCCTGCACTTTTTGAAACACATCCATCCTGACTTCTTGAAACACATCCATCCTGATTAAAGTCAATCCTAATCTTTAGAAGCAAAACTGAATTTACTCTGTCCCTTCTTGGCATGAAGGTCTGCATATGCCTGAAGGCAGTGATTAGTTCAAAGGCTATGGCCCTGATGACTTTCTTTCTTTTTTTTTTTTTTTAAATAGAGAGACAGGGTCTCGCTATGTTATGTTATCTAGGCTGGTCTTGAACTTCTGGACTCAAGCAGTCTTCCCCTCTTGGCCTCCCAAAGTGCTGGGATTATTGGCATGAGCCACCATGCCTGGCTAGTGTGCTATAACTTTTTGCATAGCTCCATCACAAGCCCACTCAGTGTGAATCATTCCAGCTACTGGGAGAATGAAATGTCTGGAGGGCAGGGAGTTTTGTTAGTTCACTGCTTTAGTCCCAGCACCTAGATCGGTATCGATACTGTTGAATGAATAAATGTACCAAGATCTTCAGACACTTGTGATATAAACTATTGTCAGATTTTCTGTATTTATGTTGATTTTTAAAAAACCCATCAGCAAGACTTTGTGTTGAAACTTGATATGATATTGACATTTCCTCTGGTTTTTAAGACAGCTTGGCCATCTGTCACTATCATTTGGATCCATCTCCTATCACTTAACTGTCTCTTCTAGCCATATGCCATCTGCATCTTTGGTGAGTGACATCAGTCCACTAAATAGTACCACAGCCATGCCTGGGACGTGGAAGGAGGGCTGAAAGGGGCAGGTTAGCCCAGCAGGAATTATAAGCATTTAGAAGAGAGAAATGCTATGAGCACTTCCTGAAGTCAACAAATCAGGTGTCATTTTAGATGGAGCTAATTTGGGGGATTAGATAACTTAAAAAAAAATCCTAGGCTGGCTGTGGTGACTCACCCTGTAATCCCAGCACTTAGGGAAGCCAAGGCGGGGGGATCACTAGAGGTCAGGAGTTGGAGACCAGCCTGGCCAACATGGTGAAAACTCTGTCTCTACTAAAAATACAAAATTAGCTGGGTGTGATGGTGCACACCTATAATCCCAGCTACTTGGGAGGCTGAGGAAGGAGAATTTCTTGAACCTGGGAGGCTGAGGTTGCAGGGAGCCAAGATTTCACCATAGCACTCCAGCCTGGGCAACTAGAGCAAAGCTCCGTCTTAAAAAAAAAAAAAAAATTTCCTTTTTTTTCTTTTTTTTTTTCAGGTCAGACAGTTAATGTGCTAATGTCATAACAAGGTTCCAGGGTGGTACATCTCACACACATGCATGAAAACCCAATCATCATGCTCATAAGCTATGAAAGGATTGCATTAGATAACTTTTGCATGGCATGAAGATAGGAAACCTGGGAAAAGGTTCATCCCAGCTAGCAGCATGGGAAAATGAGTTGATAGAGTTGTGTACCTATTAGTCAGGATTCCTTTCTCCAGAGAAACAGAGCCAATAGGCTGTGTGTGTGTGTGTGTGTGTGTGTGTGTGTGTGTGTGTAGAGTGACAGAGAGAAAGTCGGGGGTATTTTAAGGAATCGTCTCACATGATTCAGGAGGCCTGCAATTCCAGAATCTTCAGGGTAGGTGGGCAGGCTGGAGACCCAGTGGCAGTTGCAGTTTGACTCCAAAAATAGCCTGCTGGCAGACTTCCCTCTCCCTCAGGGGAGCTAGGCCTTTTTTCTATCAGGGCCTTCAACTGATTGGATGAGGGAATTACCATCCTATTATAGATGGTAATCTGTTTTACTCAGAATATACACATTTAGATGTTAATCTCATCAAAAATACCTTTGAAAAAACATCTAGAAGTGTTTGACCAAATAACTCCGTGCTGTGGTCCAGGCAAGGTGACACATAAAATTAACCATTCTGGTGGCACTTACGAAAACGGAACACAAAACACCTGGATTTCTCCAACAGGTGATTAGAGAACCCACACCCTGAGCCCCCACCTGCTTCTAAGCCCTCCTTGTAATTCTTTTTTTTTTGAGACGGAGTCTTGTTCTGTCACCCAGGCTGGAGTGCAGTGGTCAGATCTTGGCTCACTGCAACCTCTATCTCCCAGGTTCAAGCAATTTTTCTGCCCCAGTCTCCTGAGTAGCTGGGAGTACAGGCGCGTGCCAACATGCTCGGCTAATTTTTGTATTTTTAGTAGGGACGGGGTTTTCACCATGTTGGTCAGGCTGGTCTCAAACTCCTGATCTCATGATCCACCCACCTCTGCATCCCAAAGTGCTGGGATTACAGGCGTGAGCCACGGTGCCCGGCCCTCCTGGTAATCTCACGCCCTTGCCCAGCCTACTCACTAACGTGTCCTGGAATGCCCTTCTCCAACCTTGCTTCCTTCACCACTGGAAAAAGTCTACTCATCTTTCAAAGCTCAGATCAAATGTTCACGCTGTGACACTCTCTTTAATACCACATCCCATCCCCAAGATTTAATTCCGTCCTCAGTCCCTTATGGCTGTTCTGTTATTTGCCATGACTTTTAATGGCAAAAACAGCAATTACTTTTGCACCAACCTAATAATATGACATTGATCACATTGCATTGTAATTGCTTGTGTATCAAGCAACAGATTAGCAAAGGTGAAAAGTATAGACTCTGGCTCCAGACTTCCTAGGTGAAATTCCTGATCTCAGCAAGTTACCCAACCTCTCCATGCCTTAGTTTCTTCATTTGTAAATGAGGCTAAAATAGTACCTACTCTCCGAGTTTGTCATAAGGACCTAATGAGTTAATAAATGAGCTAGAACAGTGTCTAGCGCATAGTCACCACTCAGCAAATGGCAGTTATTTTCATTCTTAGTGTTACTGTGGCTAAGTCCTGGGTCATGTGGAAAGATGAGGTGTTTCTGGAGGGCAGGAACAGGAACAGTTCTTCCCCATTCACCAGCCCAATATTGTGTGGAATAGACCAGGGACTGCAGACACTTAGAGGAGCATGTAGTCTCTTATATTTGTCAAGTTCTCTGCAGGGTGCAGAAGCTGGCAGTATCATCACCCATTTAAACCTCACAACAGCCTTGCGAAGTTGTTACCGTACTTAGTTTACAAATGCAGAAACTGAGCGTAGACATTAAGTGAATTGTCCAATGTCACACACGGGTGGCAAGTGGCAGTCTCCATCCTATTGTAGATGGTAAAAAGTGCTGCAACATGAACTCCAAGGTCATGAGAGGAATCCAAGGATGCTGGGGATTCTGGGCAAGTTTTTCTTTTCCGGCCCCAGCAACGGCCTTGGTCCTTCACGTCCTTCTTCTTACTGCTGAGAACGTGGCCATGACAAGAGTGGGAAGGCTGCAAACACACGAGGCCTCCATTCACACACAGAACTGACTTCAGACAGGGTGTGAGCAGGGAAGGCTATTAATACAAGATATCCTCAGCCGTGACTGTGGCCTCTTCCATTTTGGTCTTAATCTCAGGGAGGGGAATTTGACTGATCGCCACCACGACCAAGTTTGCGGCGTGGGCTGAAGCGCTGGCCACGCAGATCCAAAACGACTCCTCGTACTGTTCTTCCACCACCACAAACTGGAAAAGCCGCTCCTGAAAGTTGGCGAGGCGTTCCGTCAGGTCATGAAATTTCACCGCAGCCACGAAGCTGGCGATGGCTAATGCCATGACTCCACCTGAAACCCAAAAAGGTCACCCTCATTCATGGCTCCTTTTGGCAACTGTGATAACTCTATGAGAGGTGGCACGTGTGACAAACTTGCTTTGGGTTAAAAAAAATTATGAGGATGATATAAATTTTAATTTGCTTTTAAGTGTAGGAGATAACCCACATGATATGAAGGAGAAAGGCAGGATTGTGCAGGGAAGGAGAGAATATGCTTTATATCAGATCAACTTTGAATTTCCACTTCTCCAAATTTTTTTTTCTTTGAGACAGATTCTTGCTCTGTTGCCCAGGCTGGAGTGCAGTGGTGCAATCTTGGCTCACTGCAACCTCCACCTCCTGGGTTCAAGCAATTCTCCTGTCTCAGCCTCCCAAGTAGTTGGGACTACAGATGCCTGTCAGCATACTGCAGTAATTTTTGTATTTTTAGTAGAGGCGGGGGTTTCACCATGTTGCCCAGGCTGGTCTCGAACTCCTGACCTCAAGTGATCCAGTCGCTTCGGCCTCCCAAAGTGCTGGGATTAAAGGCGTGAGCCATCTCGCCCGGCCCATCCTTCCACTTTTTTCCCTTACCCAGTACCATCCTTCCTAGGGATCGACATTTGGAGAAGTTCATTGTCTAAAATATATTAGGATTTCTATGAAGACCATGAAGGCTATGTGCAAGATGTAAGAAAAGCTGTTGCTCTTCTCTTTTATTATCCGCTTTCCATGCTTAAGGATAAGGATGACCATTCATAGAAGGAGGAAAGGAGGAAGGGGAAAACTGGAAGGATTCCAAACTTCATTTACTTTTCCAAGTTTTGTTTGAAACTTTGACCTTCTGGGAGGAGTCTCTCTCTCTCTCTTTCTCTCCCCCTCTTCCTCTGCTTTCAATTTTAATTAGTATCTTTGATAACACATTTATGACACTTCTTAAAAGATATCTTCATTGAAGAAAAATTTGGAAAATTTTTTTCAAAAAATCATAAACAAATTTACTTTTATCCTAAAAGCCAGCATGAACACGTTGAATATTTTAGTGTATTACTTTACATTTCTTTCTCTTTAACAAAATTAGTATTATGGGCTCTTTGATTTTAAATTTGATTCCTTTCCCCTCACTTGAGTATTTTTCCATGTTGTTAAATCTTCTGTTACAGCACGACTTTATTGTTTGTTTTTATTTTTGTTTTTGAGACAGGGTCTTGCTCTGTCGCCCAGGCTGAAGTGCAGTGGCATGATATGGCTCACTGCAGCTTCGACTTCCTGGGTTCAAGTGATCCTCCTGCCTCAGCCTCCTGAGTAGCTGGGACCATGGGTGCATGCCACCATGCCTGGCTAATTTTTTGATTTGTTTGTTTGTTTGTTTGTGGAGATGAGATCTCATTATGTTGCCCAGGCTGGTCTTGAACTCCTGGGCTCAAGCAGTCCTCCTGCCTCGGCATCCCAAAGCGCTGGGATTACAGGCGTGAGCCACCGTGCCAGGCCTACAGCATGACCTTAAATGAGTGCATAATATTTTATGCATTACACACTATAATTTATGTAAATATTTTTTATGTAAGTCTCTACTAAATTGTAGGAATAAGGTCACACACTATAATTTACGTAAGCATGACCTTATTTCCGGATGTCTAGATTACTTCTCATTTTTTATCATAAAATACTACAGCAAATACCATTTTACGTACATCTTTGTTTTCTTGTTCAGTATTTCCTTAGCATAAATCCCTATGTGGAATTGTTTAGTCAAAGGATATTCAAAGAATATTCACCTTTTAATGCCCTTTGATACCAGAGTGTTTTTTCTTTAAGCTCAGTGGCAAGAAATAAAGTTTTGTCAAAAGACATAAAGTTTTGCCTGTTTTTATTTTTATTTTTTGAGACAAGGTTTCTCAATGTTGGCCGAGGCTGGAGTGCAGTGGCATGATCATGGTTCACTGGAGCCTGGATGTGCTAGACTCAAGCAATCCTCCCACCTCAGCCTCCCTAAGTGTTGGGATTACAGCTCCCAACTAGCTGAGACTACAGGTGCCTGACACTATGCACAACTAATTTTTTTAATTATTTATTTTTGTAGAAATGGGATCTTGCTATGTTGCCCAGGCTATTTTGCCTGTTGCTAATACTCTCATCAGTAGAGTTTGAGAGAGCTATCTCTCTGATGAAAGAAATTGACAGAGATAAGCACTGATTTAACAAGCAGAGTTTTGAGCACTTTTTACATGCCTGCCACTGTGAGGATTCATGCAGATAAGAAAGACACCTATAGTCTAGATGAAGGTGAGTCATGTACATAAACGATCCTACAGGGTGGCTACCATCTGCAAACAAAGGCGAACACATACTAACTGATTTATTGAAACACATAATACATAATAAAATAACATTACCTATTTTTATATTCATGATATCCTTGTATAAGGTAATCATAGTGAGGGATTATTGTCCTAATGGTCCCTTGAATATTTGACCTGGAGTTTTCTGAGACAGCCCTTATTTCACAAGATTCTGTTATTTTTATTTTAAATGATGTGTTAAATCGGTAATTAAATGTGAATTAATTTCTGCGCATCCACATACTCCTAAATCAACATGCATGCACACACATGCAAATCTTTTCGTTTTGGGCTTGGAAAATAGGTCATGATGGTCATAAATGAGAGCATGGATCTAAGGAAAAATAAAGAGTTTAGGCTGGGAGTGGTGGCTCATACCTGTAAGCCCAGCACTTTGGGAGGTTGAGGTGGGTGGATCACAAGGTCAGGAGTTCGAGACCAGCCTGGCCAACATAGTCAAGCCTTGTTTCTACTAAAGATACAAAAAATCAACCTGGGCATGGTGGTGGGTGCCTGTAGTCCCAGCTACTCCAGAGGCTGAGGCAGGAGAATCACTTGAACCTGGGAGGCAGAGGTTGCAGTGAGCCAAGATCATGCCATTGCATTTCGGCCTGGGTGACAAGGAGAGACTCATCTCAAAAAAAAAAAAAGCTTAGAATCAGTTACACCTAGGTTGGAATACCACTTCTGCTACTCACTGCTGTGCATGCCACTATTTAACTTCTCTGAGTCTCAGGGTCTTCATCTGTAAACGTGGGTCTAATAATACCTCCTATAGGGACGTGATGAGATTTCAATGAAGTAATGCGTGCAAAATCCCCAGGTCCATGCCTAGTTGTTGTGGTTGCTCAATAAGTTGCATCTAGTTTAAGGGCATGGTGCAGTGAAGGTGCTGGGGAGGTGAGAGGAGGGAGAGTTGAGCCAGCCAGCGAGCCCTGTCTGCATTAATATGCCGTGTGTGTGTGGGGGGGAACACCAAAGACCTTGGCCGCTAGTTGGCACTCATTTCCCCTTCTCAACCCAGAGCCTGAATGGAGGAGCCTTTCGCAAATGGCCGCTTGCTCACACTACCCTTCTCTTCTGTCTGTGGAGCTCTGCCCAGCCTCAGCTGCAGCACCAGCTCCATCTCTTCCCACGTCCCAGGGCCCCCTCCTCTCCCTACTTCCAGCTCTCTGTATTCTGTCTTCCCCTCTCACCCCATCTCTTTTCAGCTGCTCTAAGTCCTCAGCCATTGACTACTCTAATAAGATGGTTCTTTATTTTGACAGACTCTGCAACTGAAAGAGGAAATTCATTAGCACTTTGGGAGGCTAAAGCGAATGGATCCCTTGGGCTCAGGAGTTTGAGACTAGGCTGGGCAACATGGTGAAACCCTGTCTCTATAAAACATACAAAAAATTAGCTGGGCATGGTGGCACATGCCCGTATTCCCAGCTACTTGGGGGACCTGAGGCAGGAGGATTACTTGAGCCCAGGAGGTCAAAGCTCCAGTGAACTGAGATTACACCGCTGCACCCCAGTCTGGGAGACAAAGTGAGACCCAGTCTCAAAAAAACAGAAAAAAAAAAAAAGAAAAGAAAGAGGACATTCATTCTATGCCACTCAAGAAGGTCATAGACCCAGGAAAGTCAAAGCTTCAGGGGTGAATTTTAATTCCTTCCCACCTTCTGCCCAAATACCTGGAGCCCAGCTCTGTGATGATGTGGATACAATTTCCTCTCCCTAAGGGACTTCTTACCTGCCAGGACATTCCATAGGCAGATGCCCCCAGGACCGTTGACTGCCCGGTATGGGACCTGGATCATGTTGAGAATGGCAAAGCCCATGCTGACCAGAGCCAGGGCCAAGGCCAGGAAGAGGAGCAGCAGAATCATCACATGAAGGCCTGTGTTCAGCTCCTTCACCAGCTGTGGGAAGACTGGGGAGACAAGACACAGCCGCTATTTCAATGTCAGAGCTAGACTCACTTTCATAAAGCCCAAGCTTGCTTCCCATGAAGCCTTCGATAGACAGGGGTGTGGGCAAGCTCGGGGTTTTCAAACAGCAGGAGACTTCCTGAGATAAACTCATGGCCCCCAGATTCATGCTTGTCAATTGACCAACAAGTGTCTCTTCCTTGGAGCAGACACAATATCAAAATGTGCCCTGGGGCTGTCAATGTAAGCTGCATTAAGCTTGAAGCTCTGGGATCTGATGTGAACTGATTTAATTTGCCTTATGAATATGGCAAAGTAAGTTTGTGAAATCTTAATCTATATTTGCTTTCTCTATGTTTGCCATAGGTACCAGCCGTGAAGATCAAATGGCATAACATAATAGAGTAGCTCAAATGTTGCCTGAGAACGTCAGTTCTCAAAAATGGCAGCTGTGGCTATTACTGTTATTATTTTGACTGTCTTGGGAAAGTCGTGTGACTTTTCAAGCCTCAGTTTTTTCATCAGTACAATGGGGATAGTAATTCCTGCATATGGATTGAGATAATAAACATTTAGCAGTCATGGGCCAAACATTTTACATCCGTCATCTTGTCCAATGCCCATGACAAAGACATGCAGTAGATTTTATTAACCCCCTTTAATCACAGGCTTGGAGACATTAAATTGCTTGTGTTTGCGCAAGGCAACTCTAAACTCTATATAAGATCATAGTTCAATGAGAACATATGAGAACAAATGTGAACTTGAAAGATCCAGTCCCTCAAGATAGATACTGAGTGGTTAACAGGGTCTAAATTTAAAATAGAGCCAAGTGGTCATTTACTGACTAGGGGGTCACACACATCCCCTGAGTTCCTTGAAAACCCACACCTTTTTATCTTTAGGATCTGCCTCAGCCAATCAGGGCTCAGTTGTAACGACCAATCAGGGTTTAGCTGTATCAGCTAATCAGGGTTCAGCTGTATCGACTAATCAGAACTAAGTGAATTTGAATCCTTTATTTGCATAAACAGACCTGGGTGGGAACCTTTGCTATAAAACCGGAACCTTCCCTTTCTTCTCTGGATTGCACCTTCCTTGTACATCAGAGGCTGTGTTTCCTTGGTTTGCAAACTGTTAACTGGAATAAAGTCTTTCCTCCAAATTCCTTTTCGGAGAACTTTTGTTCAAAACTGTATGGTATAAACGGTTTCAGGTCATGATCTTTAGTAGCTAGAAATGAAGAACTGAACATCATGAAAGCCTCAGAACTTCTGAGCATACTCATTCCTCTGCAGCTGCTCCAAGGTTCCTGCTGAATACCTTTCCACTCACACGTTCTCAGGCACTCCACGTTTACATTGTGAGGTCTGATCTTTCTTTCCAGTTCTGAATTTGCTTTTGTTTTTATCTCTCTGTGGTTATCTAATCGGCATTGGAAACTTTACCCTGGAAGGTGAGCTCTTTTCCAGTGAGTTTGTCTTTGTAGAGCGTCTTTCTTCTCTGTGCTCTATTCTATCTTAATGTCACTTAGATTTCATTTTTTCTCTTTTCAAACCCCCAACCCCTTTTATTTTAGACACAATAGCTTATACCTTATTTTTATGTATTTTTATTTTTTGAGACAGAATTTCGTTCTGTCACCCAGGCTGGAGTGCAGTGGCACCATCTCGGCTTGCTGCAACCTCCATCTCATTGATTTAAGCGATTCTCATGACTCAGCCTTTTGAAAAGCTGGGATTACAGGCACCCACCACCATGCCTGGCTAATTTTTATATTTTTAGCAGAGACAGGGTTTCACCATGTTGGCCAGGCTGGTCTTGAACTCCTGGCCTCAAGTGATCTGCCTGCCTCAGCCTCCCAAAGTGCTGGGATTACAGGCACAAGCCATCACACCTGGCCACTTGTGCCTGATTTTAAAATTGTTTCATTATCGCCTTTCTTGACCAGGCAATCCTTAGAACACATGACTAACACAGTAATGCTCACCAAACTCTTAAAATAGAAAAGAGTCACCTACGTGAATGGCAAAGATCAAAATGTTTGCTAACACACGGTGTTGACAACGGTGTAAGGAAGAGGCACTCTCAAATCTCGTAGAAATATTAATTCATGTAACCTTGTTAGAGGGCAATTTGGCAACATCTATTAAAGCAAATTCACTTCTAGGAATTTGTTTTTCAGAAGTGCTTCCGCATGTGCTCGAAGGCTGGATCAAATATTACATATTCATTACAATAGCCAAAGATTGAAGAAAAAACAATACGTGAATAGATTGATGTAATAAATTAAGGTACCCATAACATATACATAATGGACACAATTCATCTTTTTAAAGGAATCATATCCACATAATGATTAATCCCATATCCAGATTTGATTAAAAAAATTGAGTGATAACCATATTAGCATGATGGGGGAGAGGGAATTTTGGGCATATGGAGTGATGTGGAGAGGGTGGTAAAGAGTGCCCAGTCCTTGGCCTTCATAGTAGGAAGTGCATTAATTATATTTTAAAAATTCTTATTGGCCAAGGGCAAATCTCACTCAACCCCCACATTCATGTGCCGTAACTCAAGGCTCAGGACTTCATAGTTCATTGAGATTTTATAATTTATTTTATTTTATTTTTGAGACGGAGTTTCACTCTTGTCACCCAGGCTGGAGTGCAATGGTGCGATCTCTGCTCACTGCAACCTCCGCCTCCTGGGTTCAAACTACTCTGCCTCAGCCTCCTGAGTAGCTGGGATTACAGGTGCATGCCATTGCACCCCACCAATTTTTATATTTTTATTAGAGATGAGGTTTTACCATTTTGCCCAAGCTAGTCTCAAACTCCTGACCTCAGGTGATCCACCCACCTTGGCCTCCCAAAGTGTTGGGATTACAGGCGTGAGCCACCGCACCCAGCCTTATTATTTTTTAATATATGTCGTTATTTAGAAATTTGAGGCTGGGGCGGTGGCTCATGGCTGTAATCCAAGCACTTCTGGGGACCAAGATGGGGCGATTGCTTGAGTCCGGGAGTTGGAGACAAGCCTGGGCAACATAGCAAAGCTCTGTCCCTAAATTAAATTATTTTTAAAAAGAAGAAAAAATAGAAATTTGAGTCTTTCCTCAGGAGTGTTAATGCATCAGACTTTCTTTCTGAGGGGTGACTCTGCATTAGTCCTGATACCCAGTGCTGCCTTGGAAAGCTGTTGCTCACTTGCCCTTCCTATTTGAAACCTAGGTTCCAAGAGTTTTGGGTGTCTCCCACTATGAATTGAATATAAGTTTCAAGGGCAGTCACGGTGGCTCACACCTGTAATCCCAGCACTTTGGGAAGCTGAGGTGGGTGGATCACCTGGGGTCAAGAGATTGAGACCATCCTGGTCAACATGGTGAAACCCTGTCTCTACTAAAAATACAAAAATTAGCTGGGCGTGGTGGCATGCACATGTAGTCCCAGCTACTTGGGAAGCTGAGGCAGGAGAATTGCTTGAACCCGGGAGGCAGAGGTTGCAGTGAGCCAAGATCGTGCCACTGCACTCCAGCCTGGCGACAGAGTGAGACTCCATCTCAAAAAAAACAAGTTTCCAGCTTGAAATCCATGACCCTAAAAGCACATGATTCATGGTGATAAGTGACAACAGCCACCTATGTGGGGTACACACTATATGCTGGTGGTTTTATACATATTCTTTGTAGCTCATGGACACCCTCTCTCACTCTTACAAATGAGGAAACTGAGGCTCGGAGAAGTGAAATAGATTAGCCGCACTCCCACAGCAGCTTAACTATCCTATTACAGGGCTAGAGTAGAAAAATCAGAAAGCATAGACAAGTAGAGGTTTAACATTCTAAACACAGAGTCTCTTGAATTCTGGAGGTCTTATTGTGAACTTGAATAAATACAGTTGTTTCGTTCGTATTAGTGCCAACTCACTTGAATACCAGAATTCATGAATTGTTCTATCAGCACCTAAGACTATTAGGTAATTTGTTTGCTTCTAATCCGAGAGACGTCTGGCAGTCCTTTTTGCCCCAGCAGGGCAAATAAGAAAAGCAGGAGGTCAAACCCAGGTCCTGGTCACTAGTGGAATACCTGTGGGTTAGCAAGTAGAGAAATAAAAGCTGCAAACCAATCTATTCCATTAGGTGCTTTTAAAGAAATTAGTTTATGTATTGATTTCTCTCATCTGTAATTTCCTCATCAGTAAAATGAACGTAATAAAATCCCTTCTCTAGTATGGAAGGAAATAAACTACAAGGCAGTGGCTTGAGATACTGTGTTCTGGGTCTAGTAATATTTACCCGCCTCTCCATCAGATGGTAAGCTTTTCTTTCTTTTTTTTTTTGAGACATTTTTCACTCTTTCTGAGTAGGCTGGAGAGCAGTGGTGCAATCTCGGCTCACTGCAACCTCCGCCTCCTAGGTTCAAGCAATGTTCCTGCCTCAGCCTCTGGAGTAGCTGTGATTACAGGCACTTGCCACCACCCCCAGCTAATTTTTGTATTTTTAATAGAGACGTGGTTTCACCATGTTGGCCAGGCTGGTCTCAAACTCCTGACCTCAGGTGATCCACCCACCTTGGACCCCCAAAGTGTTGGGATTACAGGTGTGAGCCACTGCACCCAGCCATTTGGTAAGTTTTTCTAGGGCAGGTACTGGTCTGTTTTGTTCACCTCTGTTTTCCTAAGAGGCTGGTCTATAAAGAGCCACAGTACAATTCAATGTGTGGACGCTGCTAATGTGATGTTCGTCTCTTTCTTTCTCTAGCCACCCAAACAGCCATGTTGACTTGTTTTTATTTTAGAGAGTCTGTGTAAAAAAAAAAAAGGACCTTAATCTTTGTGATGAATAGTTCTTTGATTTTCTCCATGATTGGTGTGGGAAGTGATTTTTTGTGGAGAGCTTTGTGATAAGCAAAGAGGCTGTTTGGGAAGGAGACCCAATAAAACCTCCCCACTCCAAGGTTTACAAAGCACTTTCACTCATGTCCCCATCTACACCGATGTGCAACTGAGGGGATTTTTTTTTTTTTTCTACAGCTCGGTAGTGAATGGCAGAAAAAGACTCCAGCAGAAACGGACTCCAGGTTGTGGTAGGCTCTGATATACCCTGTAGCTGCCTTGAGGTAACATTGTGGTGGAATTAAAAGCTGTACATCTAAAAGAGACTAGACAGGCACCAGAGAACCCTGTAACATCAGTGTCCCTGAGCTGTCTCAGGGTGAAAAGCCAGCTCAGCACGGGAGGAACCTGGCCCCAAACCTGGCCCCAGGCTCTTCGTGAATGCTTTGAAGGAGAATCATACCCAAGGTACTGTGGATGGATGTTTCTAGGCCCTCCTCTGGGACAACCCCAGGGCAGCAGGAAACAAAACCCTCTCAAATACGCTCCTACCCAGGGACAAGAATAAAATGACCTTTATGCTTCTCGCAGGGTTCTGACGCTTTCCAGACCAGACCATGTTAGACGAACCCAGGGGAATGTTTCCCACGGGTGTCCTTCTAAGAAGGAAGGAGGAGGAAGGCAAGAAGTATTTATGGAGTTCCTCCAAGACTCAAATAAAATACGCATTTGTTTACAGCTTCCCACACTGTGAGCTGGGAATGGCGGCAGTCTGGTCATTAAGTTAATGCTGGCATGTGACTGCTGTTTAATTTTCTCACCCTGAGAAAGGAGACCCAGGCATTTAGGATCCGCCCCCGCCCCCGCCACCGTTAACTCCCACACCGCATTTCAATAGAAGAAAAGGCTGCGCCTCTTCAATCGCCTTCCTATAGATAGCCGGCATCGTATGGGGCAATCTCTCCGAAAGGAAAGGCGTTGTTTTTACTTAAACCGGATCAAACCCCCACCTCACTCCTCCATTGACCAAGACCCTTTCACATGTGGTTTCTTAGGCTGTAAACCTAAGATCCTTTCACATGTAGTATCTACAGTGTAAGCCTATATAAAGGCAGAGCTTCCCTTGGTTAAACTAGCTTGGCTGTTAGACAAAGAATTGCCTCGCTCCTTCTCTTCCTTCCTAGTTCGGTCAGAGAGGTCTGTTTCTCCAGGCAGATCCTGCTTCAACCCCATTCAAGTTTCAACAGTATCCCCAAAATACAAAGCTTTGTGAGGAAGCCTCAAGGTCTCTCTGGCCTCCTCCTCCCTCCTGTCTCTCCATTCTTTGTCTGTCTGAAAGCAAAGGATGAGGTTGTTCTCTGACCTTCCCTCACCTGCCTACGTCCTGACTCACCAAAGAAAAAGACCTCTGGTCCCTTCCCTGAGTGTTCATTAATTGTACCCATATCACAGGAAGAAAGACTGAAGTCTGTGAACACAGCTGGACAGACTTTTGTCACAAACCAATGTCTGCTCTGCGGGCCTAACAGACTTTGGCCCAGCCCATTGTATGTGTTTTAAGCCCATTGAATTCCCCTAAAAATAAGTTACTAGTCCCCTACAATCATCCACACTTTCCATCTCCCTTTCCTCTAAGATGAAGAGGATATAACTATCTGCACCCCATTGAGATAGCAGACAATCACTCTGTGATTTTCACCCGTGTCTGCTAATAAATGTGTAAGCCATTTTTCCTATTAATCTGCCTTTTGTCAGTTGATTGTTTAGAGACCTTCAGACTGCAAAGGGGAAGTCACAAACCAATGTCTGCTCTGTGGGCCTAACAGACTTTGGCCCAGCCCATTGTATGTGTTTTAAGCCCACTGAATTCCCCTAAAAATAAGTTACTAGTCCCCTACAATCATCCACACTTTCCATCTCCCTTTCCTCTAAGATGAAGAGGATATAACTATCTGCACCCATTGAGATAGCGGACAATCACTCTGTGATTTTCACCCGTGTCTGCTAATAAATGTGTATGCCATTTTTCCTATTAATCTGCCTTTTGTCAGTTGATTGTTTAGAGACCTTCAGACTGCAAAGGGGAAGTTTTCCCTTGGTTCCTGCAGTCCCTATGACATCCTTTATACCAACAGCATCTAGTTCAGAATCAAGTAGCCCATGTAGTCATGGTTAGCTTTTAGCATTTCTGTTATTTTTATTTATGTGTGTGTATTTTCAAGTTTTGTGTTATAATTTTGATGGAGCTAGTTTTCCAATATCCAGGGTCTAATCTAATTGCTAGGTATATACAAATGTGCCCAGAGATATAGTTCTTGAATATATATAGCAAATGTAATTTTTTGTGTATATCATTGATGACAATTTGTATTATATTTGTCAATGGTTCCAGCTTTTTGTTCTTATAAATTTAATAAGACATTTACCTTGGCCAGATTTCTATAAAGCACTACAATTCTGAAATATGGAAATCAAGGAATGAACACAAATCCTTATCACCTTGCATTGGCATGGTGTTGATGAATTACGGCTTTATGGGACACTGTTTCCACCTGCGATCTCATCGATTCAAAGGGCTTGCAGAATATTGCCTGTTGTGTTTTTTTTCCTCCCCAGAAGCCTGTTCCAAAGCCCAGCTTGGATTCCTGTTTGCACAGAGTGCTCTGCTTACATCCTGAGCAGCTCTGATGCCACACTGAACGCTAGCCAAAGTCCGTGCCGGCTCACGTTCATGGAGGGCTGGTAAGTGCCTTGCCTGAGATCTTGTCGCCCGTAAACTTTCCAGCAGGGGATCCAGCTGGGGCAGTCTGATTCCAGAACCCAGGCACAGTGCCCTTTTGCATTTCCTCAGACTATAAAGTTTTTACATAAAGTTTTCCAAGTTTTACATGGAAGCAGTCATCCTGCTTCCCAAAGGTTCATTTCTGCAGTCAATCTCCACCCACATGTTGTGGTCACGTGCCATGGTCTGGAGTCCGGCTCTGCTGTTTCCTGGCCAGGTGACCTCAGGTAAGTTATGTAACCTCTCCAAGCCTCAGTGTACTCCTCTGGAAAACGGGAACATTAACACTACCTTCTGTACAAGTTTGTTGTAAGGCTTGAAGGAGACAAGCAGTGTGAAGTGCTCAGTAGTAGAATATCTGGTACATGTAAACCCTCAATATTTTAATAGTCATTATTAATAGAGGAAAACTGCAAAAATGCACAAATCCTTATTTCTAATGTTTCCATACACATCTACAAAAAAAGAAAAGAAGGAAGGAAAGAAGGAAGGAAGGAGAGATTGATGTGGACGCAGAACCCTTGGCTCACTGTGGACCTTGACATTATGTCTGAGATTGAGGCAGCAGACAAATTCTACAAGGAGACATAAGTACTCTTACACATTAACAAAAATAAGTGCCTAGAATCAGTCTTCATGCCCCCATTAATACTCACTTGTGAATTGGGAATGGCGGCCCCCGAGCCCACACTGCCGCACCTTACACCCTCGGAAGAGTCCGTAGTAAATGTCCCCAATGAATTTGACCAGCTCTCTGTCTGTGGCGTTGACCAGATCCACTCCAGTCTGACAAAGGATTTTCCCACTCAGCCAGTGCGGCACTACCAGGGCAACAATGATCAGGATGGAGGAGGAGAAGCTGAGTAAAGACGCCAGCCCGTACCACGCCTTTTTGAACCATCCAGGCATGCTAGTGGGTGCAGGTCATCCCCAAGGTCTCCGAGCAGCAGCCAGGGTCATTGACATCTTTCAGATACTTAGCAATGCTGTGCTCCAAGGTCAGCTCTTCCAAACACTGTTTCAAGACTTTAAGTCCATCCCTTCGTCCTCCTTCAGCATGAGCTCGCATAGCCCATGTTTACTACACCCACATCCGGAAGCCTCTACAGAGACAATCTTCACCTGACTATGTAGCAGAGTGTGTTACTGAAGGAAGTAACCTTATATCTCCTCCTAGACTAATGTTTCAGCAGAGGGCTTAATTGTTCCTCGTTTCAAGTATTTAAATAGCCCTGGTGTGGGCAAAACCAGGTAGCTCTGATGATAGAGATGCAAACCAATCTCAAAAAATGGATGTGGAAGAAGGAAAACAAACGTGGAATGATTAGCCTTTGAATATTGCCAGCAACGCGCAATATCAAATGTCGATCTTTCTCATGGTGGGTGCCCTGGCATTTCTTTCTCTAAAATGTCACTGTTACTAATACCATCAAATGACCGCAGTTCTTGAGGCTTTAATATTAAAATGTGTAAACTGTGCCTTATGTATTTCTCCCTTTGTGAACATGCTGGGGGTAAAATTGTGACTAGAATTAATTTGTGACTGTTGGGGCAGCCTGGAACCCAACACTTAACCTTCTTCCCAGCTGCTTCTCCTTCTACATTATCTGAAATGGGACAGAAAGTGTTTTTCTAGTGTATTAGCAAATAGTAGCCACACTGCTGGGGGACTGATCTCTTCTAAAAGTGGAAGATCTGGCTTTTCCTTTTAATCTGCAGATACTAGGAATGAAATATTCTTTCCTTTCTATCTTATACTGTGAACTTCTACATTTTGACTCTTACCTTATTCCTGAATATCAACTCAACATCATGTGAGACTCGCAGCAGCCACTCTAGCCATATCTCTGGGGAGCAAAGTTGGGCAGGAGTGGAGCAGTAAACTTTCTCAGTCACAGAAGCCTGGAGGCGGGTTCAGGAAGCTGCACTGTTAACCAGTAGGGGTCCCAGGAATCTGACTTGGAGAGTGCCAGTGAAGCAGAGAGACATATTAATGGAAATGTCAGTTTCCTTCCTTATAATTGGGGCTTACTTTAGTGGCCTCTCCACAATGGAAATAAAAATGAGTGTCTCTGAGTCTGGGCAATGTAGTGAGATCCCATCTCTACTAAAAAATAAAAATAAAAATAGTTGGGCGTGATGGCATTTATTTGTAGTCCCAGCTACAGGAGGCTGAGGCTGGAGGATTACTTGAGCCCAGGAGCTCAAGGCTGTAGTGAGCTATAATCACGCCACTCTGGGTGACAGAGTGAGATCTGTCTTTCTCTCTATATAAAGATGAGAGGCACTTTACCATGTACAAAATCCTTTTGCCATATGCTTGCTCACTACTGATGCTCCAGCAACTCTTTTTTTTTCTTTTTTGCTCCGGCAACTCTTGATGGTAAACAGGAGATGTATGATTTCAGCCATTTCTCTCATGGAAAACTGAGTGCTAGAGCTGAATTCCGCTCTTTGAATTACAACAGCTCATTTTTATCCCAGTGACTTTGAAATAGCAAATATGTTTCTGGTAAAAAATAAAATACAATATACAAGAGGCTCAGAAGACTGCTTGGCACATTAATAAGTGACTAATAATGTTAGTTCACATACTTATTTTAACATTAAGCATACGTTGACAAGTCAGGACATGCATAAATATCACTGAGTCATATTTCTGCCATCAGTGATGGAGTTGTGTCAACTTTTGGTGTGTTGGGGGTTAAGCTATTGTTTTCAGGAAAAGTCTAAGGGGAAGACTGGATTCCCAACAAGCCTTTGCCTTGCTGAACAAAGATGTGGTTAAGCACAACTGTAGCCATTGAAGACCCGGGTTCAAATTCCCGCTCTTCCGGGCAAGTGTCTGAGACTCTCCTGCCTCAGTTTCCTAATCTGCATAGGATTGTTGTGTGGAGTAAAGTGAAATAGCACAGGCAGATCACTTAGCACAGTGCCTTGGATATAACGGGCATTAAATAGACGGTGCTCTCTCCATCCAGCTTCCTAGCAATTCTGTTTCTGATAATGAAGCGTCTGACAACAAAATGTGCTGCTGGCTGCATCCTCTTCTCCAGTGACGTATTTCTGCGTGCCTTACCTGGCACAAGTTTATTGAACAAACATCTGCGTCTGTTGTGTACAAAGCTCTGTGTGTGTGGGAAGTGGCACGAAGATGTATATAATATAGGGTCTTGCTGTTAAGAAGGTCTGTTAGAACTCTGGTTTTCTAACAATGATGAATTTGCCTCTGGGAGACATTTGGTAAAACCTGGAGATATGTTGACTGTCATGAGTGAGGGACAGGGGCTTGCTATTGGCTTCTACAGGGTACAGGCCAGGCCAGGGATGCTGTAAATATCCTGCAATGCCCAGGGCAGCCCCTGGAGGGGTCCAAAATGTCAGTAGTGCTGTAGTTGAGAGGCTTTGTGTTAGAGATACAGGCCATGGGAAGAAATAACTAATACACAAAGGAGAAAATGCCAGGATCTGTGTCTGGGGATGGGTGGCATGTGGTGAAAGGCCCATTTGGATTAATGGGTATACATTTACAGTTCAACAGGAGAAATAAGATCTAGTGTTTTGTTGAACAGTTGTGTGACTATAGTTAGCCATAATTGATTTACATTTAAAAACAGCTAGTAGAGAATAATTTGAATGTTCCTAGGATAAAGAAAAGATACATGTTTAAGTGATGGTTATCCCAATCGCCCTGATTTGAACTTTACATATTATATGAATGTATCGGAGTATCACGTATACCCCCCAAATATGGGCATTTAGTATGTATCAATAATAAAAATAAACATAATTCTGGGAAGAAAAAAGGCCCATTTGGTGGGCTTCCATAGTGGATCTTTGACATTCTGCCAAATGAGGGCGCACTAACAATCACAGAGGTCCAGGAGGACTGATGTTCTACAGTATTAAATTATGTCCTTATGAGACCAAAGGCCTGTTGCGCCACATGTACTAATATTTTTTAGAAATCTTGTAATATGATGAAACTCCGTCTCTACTAAAAATACAAAAATTAGCTGGGCATGGTGGCTCGTGCCTGTAGTCCCAGCTACTCAGGAGGCTGAGGCAGAATTGCTTGAATCCAGGAGGCGGAGGTTGCGGTGAGCCGAGATCGCGCCATTGCACTCCAGCCTGGGTAACAAGAGCGAAACTCTGTCTCAAAAAAAAAATAAAAAAAAAGAAAGCTTGCAATAATATATGTATGTATTTTCTATGTATTTTTTAATCAAGCATTAGTTTGGGAAGTGTGAAATGTAAAATATCGTATACTACAATTATTTTTTGTCGGGGTCCAGCAAAATCCTCTTCTCCAGTGACGGATTTCTGCGTGCCTTACCTGGCACAAGTTTATTGAACAAACATCTGCGTCTGTTGTGTACAAAGCTCTGTGTGTGTGGGAAGTGGCCCAAAGATGTATATAATATAGGGTCTTGCTGTTAAGAAGGTCTGTTAGAACTCTGGTTTTACCGACCAGCGGGAGTCCCCGAGACCGCCAACGTAGATGTCTCGTTCAACCTGAGAGAGAGAGTGCGCGGAAGTGAAAGAATATAGAAAAGTGGAGTCTGGAGGGCTGGGCAGTGCAGCAGCAGCCACAGCAAGCCACAGCGACAGCCACAGCGATTTTATTCTTGTGGGTTACAGCTTTTATACTTTTTTCTTGCTACATTTACTTAATCTCAGTAGAAAGAAAAGGGTAAACAGGAAATAGAAACTCCATAAAAAATAGTTATCAGGGGCTTGTGATATCCGCTCAGAAAGCAGTTTAAGGGGGCTTGTGGTAGTAGTTTACATTTCAAAGATTTTACATTTCAAAGATACAATGGCGCCCTTAAGGTGGCTTGTTAAACGTGTTTTTCACCGGGAGCTAAAACAAAGGCTTGGCTCCAGGGAGAACACGGGCAAAGGTCTCTGTTCCTCTTAGGCATCTCAATTGCAGTAAGTTTATTGCTTACACAGAGACTGATGGGGACATGGAAGCAGACGGCACAATGTCCTCATAAACTGCAGACCTTTGCTTTGCATTCTGTTGTTGCTTTAGTGACTCAGCTCGCGGCCCTTTGTCTCACTCGACAGCCCTCGAGGTGGGGAAATGTAGGCAGGTCCAGCAGCCAAACTGGGGCGAGTCAACTAGCTGTCTCACGCCCTTGGCGCGAACACTACAATTTTATTTATTTTTTTTTGAGACGGAGTCTCAAGTACAGTGGCATGATCTTGGCTCACTGTAACCTCCGCCTCCCGGGTTCAAGCAATTCTCCTGTCTCAGCCTCCCAAGTAGCTAGGATTACAGGTGCGCACTGTGGGGATCGCTCCTGTGTGAGGCCCCTAGGAAATGGGCCTTGCCATACGGTGAGCTTGAGCCGGGACACAGATCCCTGGCTGGGGGAGTTGAGCTGAGGGAAAGCAGGAACTGAGAGAGGGACTATGTTATTCAAAATAATTAACAGACATTACTTTATGGATATGAGGACATGGGAAGCATTGTGTCCACTTTCGGCTTCTTATGGTTTATTGCTTGATTGTGTTCATTTTGGACCCTTGTTACCTTCATTGAAAAATATTAACTTAAGTATTTACACTTGGTAACTTACTTACCGTAACTTACTGGGTGTGACTGTAATTTACTTACCTTGACCTATTGGGTAACCTACTTACTGGAAGTAACCTACTTACTGGGCATAACCTACTTACTGGGCTTAACTTACTTACTGGGCGTAACTTGCTTACTGTAACTTAAGTACGTTGATCTGGTGTAAACAACTTTTGACTTCAGAAAAGTATATAATGAAACGTATTGCAAAAATAAAATTGCTGCTTGGACATAGCCTAAGCCAGCCCTCCACATTCCGCTTTCCTTTATTCTTTCACTTCCGTGCACTCTCTCCCTCAGGTTGAACGAGACATCTACGTTGGCAGTCTCAGGGACTCCTGCAGATTGGAAGTCCCCCGGCAGACGTGCCGGACCCCAACAGCGCACCACCATGCCCAGCTAATTTTTGAATTTTTAGCAGAGA